CTCTAACGAAGCCTTTCAGGAGTGTCGACTGGGGAGGAGAACCGAACGGCAATTGCTACAACGAGACAAGCATGATAAGCGACCCCAACTATTGGGGCTCGGATTCCCGTAAAAGCATAATGCGGGTGATCGGGCAAGTGTTCGGGAAATCGAAGGTCCCCATCACATTCCTCAACATCACCCAGCTGTCGAGCTACCGAAAGGACGCACACACGTCAATCTACAAGAAGCAGTGGAGCCCTTTGACTCCCGAGCAGCTCGCGAACCCGGCCAGCTATGCAGACTGCGTGCACTGGTGCCTGCCTGGGCTCCAAGACACGTGGAACGAGCTTTTGTTCGCGAAGTTGTTTTATCCTTAAAGGGAAGTTTAGCCAAGGATTGAAGTGTATATGTGATTTGATTGAGTTTTTGGTTGGAAAATAGGCGGGTGAAAATGGAGGGAAAGGGAAAATGTGTATACTAATAGTGTGAGTGAAAAAAATCATTTGTTTATTTCAAGGTTCGCGGAGAAATGGCATGGGCCGGATGTGCAGGCTTGTCCTTTGGTATATTTGATTTTCGAGACGTGGGCTTTGAGGTTTTCAAGTCCATGCCACTCGGTTGAGGCCAACGAGACTCTTTCCTCGGTTACGATATTCAACTCAAAATATATGTTATGAACTAATTTGTAGTAGCATTCATTCTAGACATACTGCTAGCCTACCTACATATGCAATATCGAAACATGGAAAATCGGATTGAGATCGTAAGCTTTTTTCGTTACCTAAATGCGGTAAGTGTTACTTATAAAGAAAAAAAAAAATGCTCCCAAATATCTTGGAACATTATGTCAAAATTCTCATTAATTGATTAAAATGTTTATAACCATGTATATAGCAAAAGGTTGCCACTTATCTCTGCAACTAGCCATTTCAACATATATACACATGTTGGTTTTCTTTCCCATCAACAACACATAAGCCTACTCCATATCATTTGATCATGAAAAAGGGTAGTAATAATCCTAAAATGCCGAAGAAAGGAGAACATAAACTGCAGCTAGTGAAGCCATGGCATATTTCCTCAATCCTCCGAGAAACCCTTTTCTCTCCCCTTCTTTTGCTCGCTTTCGTCCTCTTTGTCGTCATTTCCAACTACTGCACGGACTTTTGCTTCATGCAAGGCCAAAAAGTTCCTCACAAAACTAATTATCCCACTAACCGGACCTTAATCTTACCGCCCGGTGAGTTTCTTTTTTTTTTTCATACGAACACATCAAGATCATGCTAGATATTCACATACTTTGATCTGATTATTCATCTATTTGGTTTAATCTTATTTTTCTTGGGTACTAAATTAGGCAAGACAAAATGGGATGGAAAATTGCCTTTCGCCATTGGTGGAAAAGGTAATGTTAGCGGTTGTGATGTGTTTGACGGGAAATGGGTTCGTGATTATACGGAGCCATTGTACCAAGAGTGGGAATGCCCGTTTATCGGGCCTCAGCTGACATGCTTAGAGCACGGCAGGCCCGAAAAAGACTACCGTTATTGGAGGTGGCAGCCTCATGGATGTTCCATTCCTAGGTTAGCAATATATTTTCTTTAAAAAAAAGTCTAGTTTTTCTCATCGTGATCAAGTCATGTAAAAAGAGAAAGGTAAAAACAGAGAATCCCCTGTTTAATGACATAGCCACATTGTTTCGAAAATATTCCCGAGTTTAATGACTAAGATTTTCGATCATGGCTTCAATAGGAAAATCTCGATCTTTTCCCATTATTATCAGCTTCTTTAATGCACCACACAACAAGAATCAAAGTGTAAGATTTTTGTTGCAAGTTTATGAATTAATATGCTGCCGTCGGATGTAATTCACGCACGTTTTTTGTTTTCGCTGTATCTGCAGCTTTAATGCTACGTTAATGCTTGAAGCTCTTAGAGGAAAAAGAATGATGTTTGTTGGAGATTCTCTTAACAGAGGCCAGTTTACTTCCTTGATTTGTCTTCTTCAAAGGGACATACCTCAACAAGCCAAATCCTTTAAAATGATCGGTTCCTTTTTCATCTTTACAGCCAAGGTGATAGTTGCTTTTAATTTCACTTCCATAAATACTGCCTAACACTAGTTTATTAAGGCGCATTAATGTTTTTCGGCTAAAATTTTTTGCCTTGTGCGTATATTTCGTATACAATCAGGAATTCGAAACTACAATCGAATTCTATTGGGCCCCATTTCTGCTCGAATCGAACTCGGATGATCCGTACAAGCATAGAGTGTCTAATAGAATTATTCGAAATAATTCGATCGACGTGCATGGACAGCATTGGGTAGGAGCAGATATACTTGTGTTCAACACCTATATTTGGTGGATATCAGGATTGAAGATATTATTGTAAGTACATTCCTCGTATAAATCTCTGTATATATATATATACCCTTGTGTTTTATTTTGTAATTTTTTAGTTTAATTTGAAATATTTTGTTAGAGGAGGTTCATTTGAAGATGAAGTTAAAGAAACTGTAGAGGTGGCAAAGGAAGAATCTTATGGCATGGCCATGAAGAGTTTGGTAAAATGGATAGACAAAAATGTTGATCCTGAAAGAACCAGAGTTTTCTTCACCACCATGTCACCCACACATCAATGGTAATCTTGTTCTCATTAAAATACATAGGTATATAGCTAAAATCAACATCATAATACACATAATTCTTCATGAAAAACTGCAGGAGCTACAAATGGCATGGGGACCCTAAGGGCAATTGCTACAATGAAACAACAATGATAGAAGACCCAAACTTTTTCGGGGCCGAGAAGAGCCTAATGGAAGTGACCGTAAACGAGCTCAACAAGTCGATTATTCCAATCACGCTCGTGAACATCACACAACTATCGAGTTCTAGAAAAGATGCACACACGTCAATTTACAAGAAGCCGTGGGGAACTTTGACTGAAAAGCAAGTGGCAAACCCTAAAAGTTACGCCGATTGCATACACTGGTGTCTGCCCGGGCTTCAGGACATCTGGAACGAGCTTTTGTTCACGAAGCTATTTTATCCATGATTTTGGTATAAGTCTCTTTGAGTCATTATAGACATATATATATATATGTTTGTATTTTCATTATGTAGCATATATGGTATGTGGATTAGAGGGTGAGTATTAAGGGTGGTTGCTAAACGGTCGACTTTAGACTACATTTATTCACAATCACCCAACCCAACCTTCTCCAACTACACAGCCTAATATTATAAACCAATTTATCTTTATCCCCAACTCAACTCAATCTAAAATATTTATTTTATTTGTATTTATTTATTAGGTATTATTTATAATTGATTTTTGTTATTGTTTTTAGTTATTGATTATTTAGAGTTGTGATAATATTAAAATTTGGATTCATATTGTAATTGTTGGAAATTAGAAAAATAAAAGAGATGAAACAAATAATGAGGTACGATCGGAAAAAGAGTGAAAAAAAGAAATTACAATTGTGCTCCAAAACATATCAAGTGGTCTCTATTTATAAAGGATTGAAAATATGAATTTTGATATTTTTATTTATTTTTTAAATATAAATTAACACTAGTTATTATCATTTTAAAATTATTTAAAATTATTTTCTCTAAAAAATATAATCATCCAATAGAAGTGGGAAACTTGACCCATTTACGACCCAAGGTCACTTCGCCATACTTCACGATTTTTCTAGGTTAGTGTGCAACGGGTCACCTATAATCATGGTCTTAGAGTCGAGGTGGTTTGTTAAAATTATCCAAAGTTGGGCCCAATCCAAATACGGGTTTGGTCCGATGGTCGAGGGTTTTTTCATTTTTTTATTTTACCAACAATTTAGACTCGTCGGCCCATTTTCATAAGCTCAATA